GTACCGACAGAATGAATAAAAGATCCAAATAACAAATTATGCTCCTAAACAAGATAATCTGTCCTGTTTCCATGACCCTGAGGCCTGTAAACACGGGTTATATAAACTTTATTATAAATTACATTGATCTACTTTCAATAAACAGACCGATAGCTGGGCCTAAATTGTATTAGCGTTCTAATTTGCTTGGCTATTCGGGAACAACAGAAAATACTTCCACCTTCAATCCACATAGTGGTCATTATAATGAACCTGAAAAAAGCAGCACACTTTTTAACAGCACTCACATTTGGCTTTTCCCTTTTGACTCTTCTCAAGATCACCCACCAGAAACCATGATGACATGGACAAAGTATGGAAGCTTTTCTTCCACCAATGTGCAATCAAGCTAAATGAGACTGCTCATCAGTAAACACATCGATTGTTCAAAATGAGATGCTGCTTTTGGCGGTACGGTTTATCTTCTTCTCAGATGACGCTTATTAGGCCTGCATGGTATGTTTTTGCAACGTAGACATTTATCTTTGGAGAAGATTCCAGAGAAGATTGGTTCCCAATATAAGTTCTTTGGGTTATTGGATAAAACTACCATGGCCAAAAAGTGCTGGAAGACATTGGCGAGATTTTTGATTGGCCAATCCAGATGTCCCAAGAGAGTGATTACATACTGCCCAATATTTTGTTTTATCCCCAGAGACACAGGAAGTGGCATTACAGGTTTGTTACATGTTTGTTAGACTAGCAATGCTTTGGTTTAGAATTTGCTAAGATGTGAGATATGTTACTACTTAAATATGAAATGACAGGTCTATGTTTTCCAGGTTTTGAAACAACCTAATGCATTCAGTGCACGTGACAGCCTAAGCTGCAGTGCTCCCTATCTCCACTGATTTTTTATTCATTTTTTAATCCGGAATTAACATCAATGAGACAGCCTCACACTTTAGAGTATAAGAGAAATGTGCTGATACTTACATACTTAAATGGGGATTTATATATTCCCTCATAAAATGGCCTCAGTCCCAGTCTATGAAACATTCTCTTTACAATGTATTTCCGTTTGACACCTCATGTTTAAAATGCTTGTCAATCTTCTCGCCGAACACATTTGGAATTTGTCATCTAAGCGTCAATGCCTTCACTTAATGCAAAAGTGTTTTCTCAGCTTGATATCCATATGATAAAAGAATTTCTGCCCCGGAGCCCACACAAGGATGCAGGAGTGGTTGAAGGCGGAAAAGTAAAAGAAGCAAAATGAAGAGTGCAACAGCAATAAAATCACAGATATGACAGTTAAAGAGATTGGAATTTCTTAGTTTAAAGAGCCCACTCTGAATGGAAGGAGATGTTGGCTGTAAATGTGTAGTTCAAGTTGACTTGCAGAACAAAATCATGTTTTTTTCCCTAGTTTTATTAGCAGATCATGCTTTCATAGTTTGGATATACAGTTTGGATATACATATATGTTTATCCACCGCGAAAGATAGCCATGCCTTATTCACTTACAAAGTAGAAACATTTAATGTTTGGTTGGGGAAGACAACAGTAATCACAGAGTCCAAGTCTTAAAAGGTGTAAGACTTTAGCAATTTTCAGATTTCTAAAATTCTAAACCTTTATTTAAAGCCACTCTTTTGAAAGTGAGAGCTCTGGATAAGTAAATGACATGTTGGAATTCTTAATATCCACACAAGTGGGAAGTCTGCAACGTCAGGCAGGAACAGTAACAGGCTAATTTGATGCCAATGAAGGTTAGAAAACTCCCAAAGAGTGTAGCAGGACTAATAATTAACTTACTTAACAGTGACAGGCGTTTCAATGAAGTTCACCAAAAGGTTTTGATAAAAAGACAAGAACAGCAGTAACAGTGTTTATATTTGAGAAGGATCTGAACAAATAATCTATAATTTCCCCTTTGTGCTCTACTATCTAAACTCTTTTTTATACTTATTAGTTTGCAGACATACAGGCATCCTGCTGCTGGATCATAATTGCATTCATGCACATAAAAAAGTAATTATTCAGATTTTTTGTGACCATAGAAAAATGATTGTAGTGTATTATTGATCATTTGTTGCAAGAAAAGATTAACTGCACACCCAAAAGGAGCGAAGTAAGAAAATGACGTCAATTTCTATTTTTTTTGGCCCCCCTTTTTTATTTTTTTTGGTGCCACTTAACTTCTTTCAAATGGCAAATCAGTGATAAGCTTCTCCCCAGTGGAGCAATCAGCATGCTAACGCTGAAGCAAAACACCTCAGAAATCTCCCTTGTATTCAAACTCATTTTAGATAACCTAACAATAGCATTTAATTAACAGACAGTTACACCTGAGCATTTAGATTTTAAGCAAAGAAGTCTCTGTTGTTATTTCACTTGTCTTCCTTTTTAATTATTCTGAATTGGAGTCTCGCTGAGATTCTCTAGGGCTTTAATTAGGAACCAAATTAAAGTTATGTAAATACAGTTTGAAGCTGGAGAGTCTTTAAATAGAGTCGTGTTGCATCTGCTATTTTATTTTCCCTTTTTTTTCTGAGAGAAAACACTTTAGGTCTTTTGAAGTTTGTCAAATCACTGCAGGGTATTCTTCCCTTAGGCGCTCATGTAGATTGATACTTTTTCTCAAAAGACGACAACGCAGATACTATTTCTGCAAATAAGCCATTTTTGTTTCTCTATGGGAATGTGAAAATTTGCTGCATTTCCAATGTGCCACGGTGTGTTTGCTCCCAACATGTTGGCTTGATTATTGATATAATTTTATGAAAAGCTATTTCAAAGTGACATGCATGAAGTTACTTGCCTATGAATGCATTAATAACTGATTCTCCACCTCCAATTGGCTGATCTACTTTGAAAATGAAAAGAAAAGGTTCAGCCTCCCATTGGGCTGGATTAAATCCAAACTAAGTGCCTGGGCCCAGACTGCGAGCTTCTATCTCTGAATAATAATGGGTTCTTTCAGCTGTGTTTGTCATCAAATTAGCCCTCCACTTCAGACGAGGTGCTCTCAGAGAGCAACTCTTGACAGCAATGGAATTCAAATTAGACTAAGTCAGTTTGACGTTTGCAAGCCTCGGGAAAAAAAAAATAGTATTAGTTTAATTTGTGAAGGTGATGAATGCCGCTGGACGTAAAAGGACAGGGTTCAGGTTCATCGACACACACAGTGTCCATTGATGCGACTGCTTACATGGTGAGTCTGAGTCACACTTCGAGACAGACAGTAAAGGAAACCTTAAACCAGCCTCCGTCTTTCTCTGCAAGCACAAAAATCCAACCCTCGTTCCTTAAAAGCAAAGCCTTGAAGCTCCTCTGCGCATCTTTTTAACTCCCGCTTCTTTATGGTTATACTCATTTTTTCAATAAACTCTAAAAATGTTGAGCGCATTTCCAAGAAAAAAGGGGGAGGCTCTTGAAGCCAAGTTCACTGTTGTTTGTCTTCCTGCTTTGAATTTTTGCGTTTGGAGACACCCAGGTAGAGTTCTTCCTGCCTCTCTCCCCGCCTGACACGGCATCCCCCTTTGATACCTTTGATCAACCCAGGGGGGGCACAGTTACCCTGGGAGGCACCATCACTCCAACACAGCGGGGAGACACCTAGAGAAGGAGGGAGAAAGGATTCCCTTTGGCGATGTCTGCCTTACACAAATGCTCTAATAGATTTAGTAATAATTAATAGATTCATTCAGGACATCCAGTAAAGTGGTGACAGGCTTAGAATAAATTAAACAAGTAGATGCATGCTGAAAGTTCATGAAATAGTAGTTGGAAAGATTATGTTATCAATTAATCATCCATTAAGACAGAGATTATCTTGAAAATATTATTAATAGGAACATATAGGTTGTTAAATGAAATTCCACCCACTGGGAGCAGACTGAAAACACATTATATTTAGTTTGGTAGAACAGCACTTGAGAAGTTTAATGTGTTTTTTTATATATCAAGGTAAACCTGTTGAGATTAAGAGTTCAGTCCCTTGAAAACACAAAATCCATTGATAATACTCCACAGTATTAAAACTACTGACAGGTGCAGTGACCGAGATTGATCATCTTGTTAAAATCCGCTTTCTGCGAGTCTGATCTGAATCAGACTTTGAGAGATTTACCTGAACCAGATGGGAGCTTTTGCTTTATTAGCTGGAACCTTTGTTTCAGGACATTAACGATCGAAACCATAGTACAGATCCCACTTTTGACAAATGCCATATGTGATGTTCACACATAATAAGCTTTCATTTTGCTGCATTTAGTCTCTTTAGTAAGAAAGCTGACTTTTCCATCCCTGTTTGCACTTTAGCTCAGGTAGTAGAACACAAGTGATTCAAATCCCATTGACAGCCTCTACTCTCAGAAAAATTATGATTTAGTAATGGTATAGTAAAAGATCAAGGTTGAGATGCACCAAAACCAAATGCCCCTGAAGGTAATGAATGCTGGTGCATAATTAATAATGTTGAAGTTCTTTTTTCTTCCTTTCTATTTTTTCTTTTTATAAGCTGCTTGTGATTTTTGGGATTTTCTTTATTAAAATCCTACAGTGGATTGGAATACTGATTTGGATGTTGATTACCATGGCAACAGTTAAAGCTGCAAGGCATTTGAATCGGTCATAATGATAATGCAACCGGCTGTTTAAACATTGATTCAGCAAACTCTTAACCTTTTTAACACGACAAACCATGTTTCAGCTGCTGATCAGCCTGATGAAAGTTTGATAGGTTAAACCCTTCCTTAATATTAATCCAACACATAGATTCTGTTCCAGAGAATTAGATTAGCCCCGACTTAACTGCGCACATTTTAAGATAAACTAATCTGTCTTTTTATAAGAAAACCTCACATATGCAGACACACACGTCTAAGTAGAATAGAATGAAATGGAAAAATACTTTAATCATACTTTATGTGTTTTTTTTGTTTGTTTTTTTCAGAAAATGTTAGGCTTTGAGATATCAGGGAGTACCTTTATATTGTCTGCTTGGAATTGGAACAATGGTGATACTTGGTAACAGATTGTTTGGGTCTGTGTGTGTTTTTTTTTCCCTATAGGGCTGAAGCAGATCCATGCCCTGTCCATACAGGGGAACTATGAGCTGCGCATCGACTTGGAAGACTTTGAAAATAACACAGCATATGCTCAATACGGTACCTTTGGAGTAGGCCTCTTCTCTGTGGACCCTGATGATGATGGATACCCTTTGACTGTTGGAGACTATTCTGGCAGTGCAGGTATGTGCCGTGCTGAGAGAACTCATTAAGACTTTTACACTGATTAGAACACGCCATTTTTGCCTCGCACATTTCTTTTTCGTCCATCCTAATTGCTAAAACAGTGGTGGGTAAAATGTCCGGTCACCTCCCCCTTTTATTCTGCCATTAAGTATAATAACAGTAGGCTATTTTTGCAGTGCAAAAGGTGTGCCGGCTGTTGAAACATAAAGTCAGTTTCACAGGGAGAGGAACAGCTAGAGTCTGCGCCGCTGCTACCCTAACAATCAGATCTAAGCCAGCTACCTGTCACCTTGATTAAATTACTGCCAATTAATTGCACGACTTGACCTGCAGCGTAAACAAAAAACCTGCTGCCGAAATGAAGAAGCAATTTAAAGAACCTGTGGGGAGCACCACTTTGGGGAGCACAGGGGGAAATAGGGACAGATATGAGAGATCCAGCAGGGAGGCGTGGAGAGGTGGGAGGTTAGCTGAAAAACAAGGATTGGAGAAGTTTGGAGGACAGGGAGATAAGAATAAAAATCAGAATGGAAATATCTGAGTTGGTGGAGGATACCGTAGAGTTTAATAGGTGGTGCTTGAGTCCAGATAAATTTGAAGAGCCTCAGCTCCTTCGGGATGTCGATGCTAGCATACTTCTTGTTTTTTTTTGCTGTTATTCCTATTACTATCTTTGCTTCTGACCATTTGTGACTGCTGCCCAATCAAGTGGCATGTGCTCATTTCCACTGGGGGCAGCTGGATACTAATGGGCATCTGAGGAGGTTCCTGGACATCATCCCATTGTTGCCACCACTGAGCTCTTTTCTTTTTCCTCACTGACCATTTATTCTATTCTAATGGCCAGCACCACGCAACATGAACATGTTTATCAAATTATTTTCCCAACTGAGTGGTTGCCATAGTAATGTCAAACTGAGAGCAGAGTGGGGCAGAATGAGAATGTAAGGAACTGGGCAACCACATCCTGGGCAATTAAAGGCTGTTGCCCTCACAAGCTGTTAGCACTCACCTGATTGATACTTAGCAGTCTTTCATTCCCCCTCACAGCTTTGTCCCTCCATTCATTTCGAATGCCAGTGTGGTACGTGTTTTGAAGAGACGGAGTGAGGACGGAGAATACAAAGAGTTTATTGCACATTATGAGGTCCATTTGCTGAAACTGTCTGGTCTACCGCATTTTCTACCAGGATGCTGCTTTCATCTTATTTTTTTTTTTAGCCTATTACAGCGATGGCTTTGAAAGCAGTTATCACTGTTGAGAATTTGCCAGCGAGAAATCTTTACATGGTCGGGAGATGTTTCCAGCTCAGCAATTTGATTGTGCGGATCCGACTTGCTACCCAGACCATGATTAAGGGCGCTTGGCTGTGGCGCATCCCTGCAGTGGTCTTACATCAATGTCATATTCACAATCATAGGTTGTAGGGAAGAACGCCATTTCATTGATTATGCTTTTACGGGCTTTTGTACCAGTCGGAAAGACGCACGGAAGAAGGAAATCAAGATGTGAGGTCTCTTAAGTGTGTCTTTTCTCTCCACTGATATATTTGGGCTCACTGACTGATAGACATCTAGATGAATCCCCTGGGGGGTGCATTATTAACAGACATAAAGGTCACAACAAAAAACTTGATGAATTGGAAAAGCCATCTAACCTCCAGCTTTAGATAATGAGAAAAAATACACCAGAGAACTGCAGGGTTTTAACTTTTATTCTTTTATCTCTTTTTTTTTTATTAAAAAAGATTAATCGCAACGTCACGACATTTTGAAGTTAATCACTCGTGAATATGTCTAATTATGGTTTCTGGTATCAGACAATGCACAAGCTGTGACTGAAAACACATGTTTTTTCATCAGCCATTTGCCCTCAACTAATGACAAAAAAAAAAACAACCCTTTGTTGAATGTATTTCAGGTGATTCTCTCCTGAAGCACAACGGGATGAAGTTCACCACCAAAGACAGGGATAACGACCACTCTGAGAATAACTGCGCCTCCTTCTACCATGGCGCGTGGTGGTACCGCAACTGCCACACCTCCAACCTTAACGGGCAGTATCTGCGCGGTCAGCACACCTCCTACGCCGACGGCATCGAGTGGTCCTCCTGGACGGGCTGGCAGTATTCCCTCAAGTTCTCCGAGATGAAGATACGCCCCACCCGCGATCCCGACAACAAATAAAACTGACAAAAGAGAAAAACCTAAAAAAAAAAAAGAAGACATTTTTGAAACATTACAAACCACATTTTCTGACAGCTAAATGGAGTTCCTCGTCCTATTCGTGTTTATTCACTCAAACATACCTCTCTGAGTTTAGCTGACTCTGCCATTTGCCTCATAGTGTCCTCCCTTTTGCTCTTCTGTCATTCATCACTCAGCTACCGGTCAAATTGGCCGCGACAGGCATTTTTGTGCGATCCCAGTTTTCTGAAAGACATTCCAACCGTGATGCCCTCCTTTTTTTTGTCTTTGCGTTCGTAAAAAAAAAAAACACCTTACCAGAACCCTGAGCACACAGCCCGCTGCGCTCTATTCGGTCTGACATGGTGGTCCAGCCACCGCCAGCAGAATCACACCCCAGTGATTTTTCTCCTGATGTGTAGCTCTGACCTCCCATTTGTGGTGGCGCGGCACTTAGACGGGGCTCGGTCTCACTGCCCACCGCTGCACTGGATGTAAGAGGGTATCTTCGGCAAATAATAGAACTAGACGAAACCTCCGCGACACGCGAGCAGGAGATAGAAAATTCTCGAGTTCCACCTGTGAGAAGGGAGAGCGCAGTCGTTCACCGTTACATTTACATCCTTTATCTGTGTGAATGAGACCCAGCAGGGTAGTGGCAAGAAGTGCAGAGTCTCGGATAATATGATGAAGGAAGAGAAAAATGAGGATACAAGCTGACGAGAGCTAAATTGGTTGAAGGACAGAGGGACAAAGCACACCAAAGCATAGGGAGGAAGTGGGAATAGGAGTGAGGGAAAAAAAAGGAGGAAAAACAGGGGGAAAATCGAGACAACGGAGGATCTCATTCATCGAACTTGGGCCATTAAGGAGCATATTGGGCACTTTGTGTGATCAGCCCGCCAGCTGAGTACCGGCCAATTGATACAGCACTCACAGATGGTAACCCAGCACTTTGTGTGTGTCGACGTGCGAATGTGCATGTATGTGGGGGTTTTACAGAAAGACAGACAAACAGACAGACAGACAGACAGAGCTCTCCCAGACTATCAGCTTCCTGTCATGGGTTATGAGGAGCATCTTGACTGAGCACAATGTTAAGCACAAAAAGACAGAATGTGATGCATGGCTGCCGTACTTTCACCAAGTCTACATGTGGAGGGGAAAACACAACACAAGGCATGCAAGATTTGTTCTCTGTAAGATATAAAAAGGCCAGAAGAGACTGTACCAGCGAGTGAGTGTGAGAAAGGAAATGTTACATCTCTCATTTGCACCTTTTTTTTTGTTTTCCCTCTGTTTTGTAATGTTTCTCTGTTCCAGGTGGTGAATATATGACAGTTTGTGCTGCCATGTACATACAGGGAAAATAGCTGTAAAATAAGATTTAATGATCTCTGCCACCTCTCTTCTTTTTTATCTTCTTCTCAATAGAAAATTGTAAAGTGTTTCATGGCAAAGTCAAAATTACCCAAAGCAAATTTAAAGAAAAAAAAAAGCTCCAAATGCAAAGAAATGTTATCAAGAAAAATAAAAATCCAAGCAACATGTGGGTGAAATACAGTGCAACTGCATATGTTCAGTATAACTCTTTTCTTTTAACTCGGTCAATCAACTCTTTTGGATGATGTGAGAAAAAGCTTTAAAATATCTGAAGATTTTATTGTACAGTGTGTATGAATTCAAGAGCATGCAATATGTTTCTTACTATGCTAAAAAAAACAAAAAAAACAGAACTCAAGCACACAGACTCAGCTAAATTCAAAAGATAGAGACCGACTTTTTTCTCAATAACACGGACGGATTGAATAACAATGAACGCAAGACAGGAAGAGGAATTGCGACAATCCCTCGGGCACATGGTCGTTCAAAAACCTGCCACAAAAACCTGAATTGTTTTTTTTGGGAGGAGCGATATGACAGTTTTTAACCTTTTTTTGGCACGTGGGCCGCCTTGCTGGACGTGTGTGATCTTTCCAGATTCTCGGCTGTAGGGAGCCTTGCGGAACTTGAAAGCAGCTTTGAGCGTGAGCCGAGGTGCGTCGCCACAAGTTGACAGTGAGATGGTGTGTTTCCGTCATCACTGGAAGGATCCTCCAAAGCTGTGTGTGCCTGTGTGGCACCTCAGCTGTGTACAGTATATACAGCTATACGTCATGTCCCCCGTGGAGCGCTGCCACCTCCTGTCATCAAAAGCACAGACACTTGTAAAAAAGAACAAAAAAAAAAAAAAGATGATGTTATTACGGCACATGGTATGAAGTTTGATAATGTCAGAGGCTTTCGTCCATCTATAGGTTGGAACTGTGAGAAGTCACACTGGATCGCGTGGATGAGTGCGTGCAAACGTGTGAGTGTGTGTCTCGACAAAGCCCGTGAGTTTTTGTACACAGGTGTGCATCTATAGCGTCTCTGTGTGTACACATACAGTACAGGCACGAGCTTTCAGCTTGTTCATGCCCATGTGCATGAGCCAGACAAGAGAGTGGGAGGCTGAGTGTGTCTCAATGTGAAATTTTCGAGTAATGTGATGCTTATGTACAAGTTGCCTCCCCAACTGTTTGTGTTGATAACAGAGAGATTTACATTATTATAAAGAACTATTACTTATCGTGATTGTGAATCCATTAGAGTGGAGGCCACCTTCTGGTACCGTGTTAATCTGCGCCTGTACCTAAAACCCCTACGAACCCACTCCTAAAGTCTTTGTGCACCCCCACCACACGTTGTGCATACGATATATGTTAATGTTGCTCCTTATCATTTGGTTTAATAGACATCTATTATTTGCCATGCCCCATATTTGTTTTTTTGTTGTTTACAAGCCTATATAGTCACTCTATCTCTCCCTCTCAGCCGCAGCTTGCTTAGACTCTAATGGAAGAGAAGATAAAAGAGTGAAATCAGAGGCTCTAATCAATTCCAGTTATCCCACTCATTACAGAGCATCAGTGCCCTCCTTATTGATCCCCCAGGTCCCCAAACCTTCTATATTTCTTAGCGTGTACCTTCTTAATTGCCTTAGCCTTTGCTGCCATCCCATCCCCACACCTCCAGCTCCTAAATTCTCCTCTTTTTCTCCAGCTCCTGTAACTCCCATCCTATTTAATGCTGTTTTCTTTTTCACCTACCGCTGCCCCCGCTATCCTCCTTTCCCATTCCTCATTCCTCAAATTCCCTCATTCCCTCCGCAGAACTAACTATGTTTTCTCTTCTCGTTTTCTTTTTGGTGAAGTACTATAGATTGTTTTTGCTGAATCTTGATACTGTGTTTTAATGTTCTTGTCGACATTTAATAAACATTCACATTTTATATATGGAGAATAAGGTGAGCTGTGTTTTTATTTTTGCTGTTGTTTTTCTTCTCTCGGCGCACTCGTGCGTGAAAATGAAAATAAAGCTCACGTTCCAAGCTGTGTCTTCTTTTGTTCTAATCTAAAAGAAGAAGAAATGGATTACACCCATCTGTTTTGTCAATATCGGCAGGGTTTTCTGAAAAGATGCACGTGCAGACATAAAATATGGCCCAGCCTGTTTTGTGAGCTGTTCAGATAGCTTTGACTTTGCTTAGTTTTTTTAGGTCTGTTTATGGAGTTTGAAGATAATATTCCAGTTATTTTCACTCTCTTCATTACTCTCTAGGAACCATCTACTATTCTGAAAGAGTGAGAAAATAAGCCACTTTGCATCATCTGCCTGTGTAAAATATGAGGGTGTTTCATTTTAATCAGTTTTATCTCTCATCATATTGATAATTCTACAGATAACTGGCTCTGTGCTCAGTTTATGGGTGTTGGTTTGTTTCTGTCAAAATCCTTTTTCTTATCAGTCATTATTATCACTTTAATAGTGAGCAGCAGCATCTATTCAAACAAATTGTTATGTCTGTTCAGCAGTTAATACAACAAACATAAAATGTCAACCAATAGGATTTTAATGGTGTAAAATGACTTGGGAATGATCTGCACATTCCCAGGTTACAGTTACAATTCATAAATTGTGAATTGTAGATTGTGCCAACAACAATCAAAGCAGTGAATTAAATAACAATGAATCCTTACAGGGAGGGTAATATTAGGAAGACAGAAGGTTTTCTATGGCTCTGAATTCGACCACTTCAGACCACAAAACACATTTGATTTAGAAAATCCACAGTGTTCCAAACTGATACAATACATCAGTTAAGGATTGTATGTCTTATTTTGTCCGAGCTTTTCTAAAGCCATGCTCTCATGCCAAATGAGCACAAAGACATTAATTTTACCACGATGTATGCATTCATTCCTGCCTATGTGAGATATTTGCCCTCTTTTCTTTATTAGACTCACATCTATAGTATTAGCTGTGCAGAGTAAGTATGAAATGCTGAAAGTCTACATTCATTTAGTTTAATTTAATGTGTCAGTTTTTTAGAACTATAGTCGTAACATTTTTTTTGTTTGCATTGTAACAATGAATTTCATTCCAGATTTTTTAAATTCTATCTTATTAACGTCAAGAAAGTAAAATCAGCAGTTGCGCATTTTTAGATCTAAATTAAGCCAATTAATATATATATTTTTGGGGTTTTTGTGTAATTTTTCTAAGAACTTCCCATTTGAGATCATTTTTAGTTTTTCCTGTGATTTACTTCATCAGATTTTTGTAGCAAGGAAGCCTCCTGAAGAATGAAAAGTCAAATCATTCTAAAAGTGGAGCATCTTTGCTGAAATCCCGCTGTTTTGAAATCCGGCAGCACAATGTAATCTGCGATTTGTCAATATATGAAGTGTCTGTGTACAGCCGAATCCAAAGTCAATACGATGTATCTACTAATTGCCTTGGAGGAGTTTGAGTCAAGATACGACGGGTGTGAGTTAAAGGACTAACACTGTGGAAGGCTGCCAGCTATCTGATCTAGAGTTTATTTCTGAGCTTAAAGACAGAAAATGATGGCAATGATTGAGTTCCTATCTCTGGAGAGCCACTCCATACTCCAGGCATTCGAGTCTTGACACTGT